GTTAGCGCTCCTTGCCCCTGCTTTGCATGGCCTCTCTCACACATGACTCCGAGATGCCAGGCAATGGCCAGAATCCTGGGCATCCTGCTTGCCTGAAAGGGACCCCAGACTCCCTTCCTCAAGCTTGTACTTCTTCAAGGACCATTCCCAACATGACAGCCCTCCTAGTCACAGTGTCCTTCAAGGGCATCAGAACCCTTAGCCAGGAGTAATTCTCATAAACTAAAATAGTCCTCATACGGAGGTTTAGCAGGTGTGATGTTCTCAGCATAGAACTCTGCAGCCTTGAACTGAGACCTGGAGTTATTGTTTCTAAAACGATCCCTAAGACTGCCGGTGTCAGAATCACCAGTATCAAGATCAGATGCTTGTTAAAATACAGATTCCCACACCTGCTTACCAGTGTCCCTAGCAACAAACTGTGAAAACCCTGTTATTCTCAGCCTAAACCATGGTTATGTTACACTCTGCATCACCCCGAAGACAGTTCAGCATCCAACAAAACAGAGGCCAAGGCAACGAGCTGGGAGGTGCTGGAAAGAGAGAATTATGAAGATGAAGGGAGGAAGGGAGGAGTGATAGGAAGATGCAGAGTAGTGGAACCGTGCCTCAAGGCAGACACAAATATGACAGAGAGAGCTTGGTCTCTAGTGCCTTTGATGTTCACCCTGGCACATCTTCTAGTCTTTATTTTTTTTTTTTTTGGAGACGTTTTTGCTATAGGGCGTGTACGCTTGCCAGACAGACAGAGAGAGACAGAGAGATAGAAAGCAAGAAATCACTCCCCAGGGGGGATGGCCACGCCGCAATCCCTTCTCCTCCATTCTCCTCTCGGGATCTTGGGCATGCACACACACATGCCCGGAGTGAGTTTAAGCCACCGGTCTGGGACTCAAACCGTGGTCGACTACGTGGGAGTCCAGCAACATAGCCATTACGCTAACTGCTGGTCCCTCCTCTAACCTTTTTATCTGGCATGATTTTCACCCAGACACATCTGGCCTCCCCAGGTAACACTCTACAAGCCAGATAGTCAGTGACAAAGAACAAGGCCAGAAGTTAAATGTCCAGGGTCCAAAGAGCAGAGCAACTGTTAGCTGGCAATCTACATGTTGCAAAAATTTTCCCAGAGTTAATCACTTCACAAATGTGAAATAAATTTCCTGATTTCACACCACACCTCCCTTCCCCAGACCATGCTAGTCCGTATTGCTCATGTCACACTTTGATGGCTTTATAAGTTCTTTCCCAGTGATTAAGACAAACTGACCCACCTTCCTGTCATCCCTTTTATTAGGAAATTAATTATACCCAGTGACTGGCATGACAGAATGCAGATGATATGGAAAAAATGCCTGTAATGTCTATCTGCTAACTTTACTAAGGGTTGAATTTGGGAAGAGGAAACTCGGGGAAAAAGTGTCAGGTACCTTTTTTTTCCAAACAAAAAATGATTGATGGATGAGAATTCAAAGTTTATTCTAGATCTATTCAAGATGGACATTTGACAAGCCATTCCCTCAAACCCTCCTCATATTCATAGAGAATTCCCTTGTCATTTTTATATCAAAATATCTAAATATTCTCCTTTTCTCTTGTTCCATTGCACCAACCCTCACTGGACATTTTGACAATCAAACATTTCTCTTTTTCTTGCTCAGAAGGGGCCAATGAAATTAGCCTGAGGTCTGCAATACTTAGCCATTCCAGGCAATGGACTAAAAATTAATCCATGTAATAATTGTAATTATTGGATCTATTTTGGAGATTCTAGTTTTTAAATTACATTGGGGATATCATGGAGTCAATTTAACATGCCTAGGACTTTCAGGCTAGCATTTCAAGGTCAAGTGTTGGTATCTTGGCCTTCTGGTCACCAACATCACTCCCCATCTTTAATTCTTTCCTTTCATGGCTCCTGAAATGGCTGAGTATCAGAATCACTTGAGGGTTTGTTAAAAAATATGGATTTCCTGGGAACCAGTAGTTAGCGTAATGGCTATGTTGCTGGACTCCCACGTAGTTGACTGCGGTTTGCGTCCTGGACCCGGTGGCTTAAAACTCATGCTGGGCGCGTGTGCATGCGTGCCTAAGATCCCAAGAGGAGGATGGAGGAGAAGGTATTGCAGCATGACCATCCCCTCTGGGGGGTTATTTCTCACTTTCTGTCTTTATGTCTCTGTCTGTCTGTCTGGCGAGCACACGCACCCTATAGCGAAAACCTCTCAAAAAAAAAAAAAAAAAGTATGGATTTCCTGAATCACTTGAGGGTTTGTTAAATCTATGGGTTTTTTTTTTTTCTTTTTATTTTTAAAGATTTATTTATTTATTTATTCATTCATTCATTCATTCATTTTAATTTGACCAGAGACACACACACACACACACACACACACAGAGAGAGAGAGAGGAAAGTGAGAAAGCAAGCCACCAGGACTTGAACCATGGTTGCCCATGTGGGAGTGTCCAGCGCCTTAATCACCACGCTACCTGCTGGTCCCAAAAATATGGATTTCTTGATTCAACCCAAAGAATCTGACTTCTGAAGTTTGGGATCCAGGAGAATAATATTCTTTCTTACTTCTTTTAAACACTTTTTTTTTAATAAGTAACAAAGTGATTCTCATGCAGTCATACATTTACTGAAAACATCTGAGGAACATCTCTTTGGTCCAGTGTTTCATGAACTTGTATACGTATCAGAAGTACCTGGAGGCCTTGTTAGACCATAGACTAAACCTCAGAGTTTCTGACTCAGCTGGTCTAGGGTGGAATCTGAGAAACTGTACTTCGAAGTTTCCAGGTAATGTTACTGCCGCCAGTGTGAGGACCACACCTGGAAAACCACACCTGTAACTCAGGTGCTTGTGCATGTGTTTATTACTCATTAGTGCTTCTACCGTGTACCTGAAAACAGGGCTTTAAAGGAAGGAATAATCCTCTCAGTTGGAGCTAACACACATGGCTGAGCAACCTGGGAGCTTTTGCTTCTTTTCCTACATTTAATTCTGGGGGTTAAGGCGTGGGCTCCATCTCAGATCTGTGTCACCATCTTCAGAATGCCCTGAGAACCCGTTTTGAAGTTACCCAGAAGATTCTGGTTTATAACAGGGATTTGAAACATCCTTAGGTGAACCAGACTTCTGAGTTCATAAATAACTTGTACATAAAATTATTTGTTAATTTGAAATTCAAATTTAATGGAGCTGGAGCATCCTGTAAATTTGTTTGTAACCTCTAATCACTCCCCTGTCTTCGCCAGGAGTCTGTTTCCTTGGTGTGGTCTCTTCTCTGTGCAACATACCCCTATTTGAAATACTGAAGGGAGTACAGGCAAGGAGTGAAACCCATACGACACGTGAGATGAAAAAGAGAAATATTAAGATGCCTCCTCAGGAAAAAAAAATACACAAAAATTCATTAATCTAGGCAACAGTAACAAAATCAGAAAAAATTACTGTCTGCTAATGGTATTTTAGCAGACAATTCGTCAATTATATAGTCAAAAGAAACCCTGGGGAATAAAAAGACACCAAAGATGCTATTAAAATGTTCTAAGTGAAGCCATATATAATTATTTTCAAACAAGCATAAGCTATGAAAACTCAAATGCTTCAGGTGCTGAAAGATGGGATAAATTCACATCAGGCTTCCAAACTGATGCTTCCAGGCGAATCTAAGTTTGGGCCAGAGACAGGGGTAATGGTGTCTGCCCCCTCCCTGTTTTATGGGAAACTAAAGAGCCTTAGGATGAGACACTCCCATGTGTCAAGGACAAAAAGAAACATAAATACCTCCCCAGCCCCTGACATCTGCGCATAACTGCTAAGAGGCAGAATCAAATCAATGGAACACACATTCAAAACAGAAGAAAAATTTACTGATGCAGAAGACAAAATAAGGGAAGTGATCTGACAAATCACTGCCTGGGCTGACGACCATTAGCACCACAGTCCTTGCAAGGAAAGCAGCTTACTTCTTAAGCGGTCTTAACCTCTCCCAGGTTAGGAGTCAGCAAACTCTTCCTGTAAAGAGCAAGACAGTAAAACTTTTAGACTCCGCGGACCACACAGTTTCTGCTGCCCCTGTGCAGCCCTGTTGTAGCACGAAAGAGACACAGACAATGCGTAATGAAATGGACACGACTGTGTTCTAGTAAAACTTTATTCACAATGGAACACATGTGGCCGTGGGCCACGGTTTGCCAACCCATGTCATAGGTGAGCCCATGCGTCAAGGTTAGCATCATAAGCAGATTCTGCAGAGCACCCAGCATCAAATATTGTGTGTCTAATTATGAAAATGAGACATTCAGCCAAGTCGTCACTATACAGAGAAGGGCAGAATGTTTAAAGGTCATCTCAAGCTAGAAGGCAGGAAGAATTCTAGAAAGAGGGAGGAGATGCTCATTTGAAAGTCGGAGACTGTGTGACAAAAG